TACAATCTGTAGATCATACTACACAGTCTAATTGCCTGACTAAAGAATTTCCATCTCACTCCTAGGATTTGCCATGAGATTTCAGATATAAGGTTTATGGGCTGATTTTCAAAGTTGCAGAGCACTTGCAGTTCCCATTGACTTCATTGGGAGCTGGGTTTGTTCAGTGCCTCTAAAAACATGGGCGCTAATCACTTGGCTTTTTCTGCTTTTAAAGCCCATGAGCGTGCTTGCACTATATTAAATGGCCGACCTCTCCACACTGCCTGTTTTCTTAAATTAAGGGAGCTGGATAACTTTTTACACACAGAGCAATACTTGTGACTTGAGTTTACATGTTTCATGCTTTGTTTGATTCACTCTAGGATACTCTACTGATGAATACCAAAGGTCAAAGCATAAGCTCAATAGATACGAACACCCTTTCAGTTCCTTAGTAATGAATCGGAGACCTATCACAACTCTAAAAAAAAAGTCTGTTAGATGGTTTTCCTTATCCAACAGAAACTACCTTATGTGACTCCAGCTACAGGATGTTTGGTTTTAAATTCATGAAATGCAAAGGAAGCTGCATATATTGGGTCACTGGGCATAGGTACAGCAATTCCTACAGTTAGGAAAATAGAGACTCTTCCCCTCTCCACCACAGGATAGAGCCAGGACCAAGAATGAAGTTAACCTGCAGCCAAGCCTAGGAATAAGACTACATCACCATACTAATGAAAACCCGCTCTCCTCTTGTAGATAGAGAACGGTGAGTGGATGACTTACAGGACTCAAAATACAAATCAGAATCACCTCAAAGTCACTGGCTTGAATGAAAACCCATGCAAGTAGCAACTGAAAGCTGTTACCACTTGGGTGGCTGCTCAGTACCCCGTGTTCAAGGAGTTGATGGTCTCAGTCCAGCTACCTGCAGAATTAAAACCCACAGGGAAATTGAACCATTTTTTGCAGTCTTAAGAGAGAAGCTAAGAGCAATGGCAATGCACACAAGTGGAGCAGTATGGAGACACTTGCACAGCTGATGCAGTGTTTGTTTTGTGCATGGGAGGGAGACTCTTGGTCTTCGGCACCTCTCACAAGCACGAAAATTTAAAAATTATAACATTTTAGCAACCAGAGATGAACGCCCTGTACCCTGCCCCACTTTGATGATATCGGAGGCACACTGATGGAATCTAAGGAGTCCCATCTGACCCCCTTTGGCTAGCACAAGGTAATAAAATGAGGGTGGGAAGTGAGCCAGAGAAAAAGTCAGGGGACCCTTGGGGGACACAAAAAATACTTCCTCCTGCCCCCCTCTCCCCGAGTTAGAGCATTACTAGCTAATGATTTCATGCGCACCAAACATCTAACTGCTGTCAGGAATAAAGCACTTTTTCACCCTCAGCTAGTAGCCTCAGCTGAAATATCCAACTGCTAGGGGGTTGGTGGTATTTGGTGGCCTTCCAGACCAGCATGCCTGTGGTGACCCCATCAGTTTCTGCACAATTTTTGTTTAACATTAAAAAATTGTTCTCTCATTATTTGTATTGCAGTAGCATCTAGGAGGCCCAGTTATAGACCAGGACCACACTGTGCTAGGCGCTGTACAAATACAGAACAAAGATGGTCCCTGCCCCAGAGAGTTTGCAATCTAAGACTTCCCTAGTGTGGCTGCAAATAACATTTTCTGAATGTGAACTAAATATAAACTGGTGTGTTTATCTTCCTGAGTCTGCAGACAGCCCAAAACAATAGCTGTAGATGAAAGGTATGAACTTACGCCTTTCATCACACTGGTGGTGTTGGCTCTGAAGCCATGACACAATATTTTAAAAGTCACCATTTCACTATGGTTTCTTTTAGCAGAAGCATTCCTCTTCTCTGGGATTGCGTTCACATTTTGGGATTACGGGAAGAACAGAGCAGACTATTACCACTACCTTCCCCTGCCCTCCCCTCCCCCACGAATCATACCCCTGCCAACAGTTTACAAGCTCAGACCCTGGCTGCCCATTCACACTTCTAGAAACAAGCCAAATCACTGAAAAACTAAACAAAACAAGTCACCACCCTATTTAAATGGAAATCATTATTTTCAAAGTTCTTCTACCTAGTTTTGAAAGGCTAACACGCACTCTGATGGAAGCTGGAATGTTATAGATGCCAACAGCAGGAGAGCCGAATCTGTTGAGCATTGGCCTGCTAAACCCAGGGTTGCGAGTTCAATCCTTGAGGGGGCCACCTAGGGATCTGGGGCAAAAATCAGTACTCGCAGGGCCGGCTCCAGGGTTTTTGCCGCCCCAAGCGGCAAAAAAAAAAAGCAAGCAAGCCACGGTCACGATCTGCAGTGGCAATTAGGCGGGAGTTCCTTTGCTCTGAGCGGGAGTGAGGGACCGTGCGCCAAATTGCCGCTGAATAGCTGGACGTGCCGCCCCTCTCCAGAGAGGCCGCTCCAAGCACCTGCTTGGCAAGCTGGTGCCTGGAGCCAGCCCTGAGTACTTGGTCCTGCTAGTGAAGGCAGGGGGCTGGACTCTATGACCTTTCGAGGTCCCTTCCAGTTCTATGAGATAGGTCTTGTACATTTCACCTGTGGCTGCCAACCAGTAACTGCAAGTCCTGCATGGGGTTTTCCCTCATTTGCAGACAGTGTGTTGCCTTTCCTTGTATCAGAATGTCTATCTAGGGTGACCAGACAGCAAATGTGAAAAATCAGGACAGGGTGCGGGGGCTAATAGGAGCCTATATAAGAAAAAGACCCAAAAATCGGGACTGTCCCTATAAAATCAGGACATCTGGTCACGCTAACACTATCCAACAAGTCCTGCTCTCTGTAATAAAGCACAAAACCAATCAGTTGTCTCCTTTTATTATGGAGATTTTTGAAAGGTTTATTTCTCTCCCACTCATAGACACAGTCATACATATTATGCATATTTGATATATATGCTATATAGCAGCAAATGTTAAAGAACATGAACTTCCATTAACAACTTCTTTTTGCTTGGTGACACCTTACTGAAAAGATCTCCTCTGGGACTAGACTTTCCATCCCTGCTTCCAGTCTAGGGTTTTTGTTGAATATATTTTATAATTCATATGTATTTCATACACAGCGAGAGAATACATATAAATCTGAGGAAAGCCCATTCAAAGATTGAGTTATGAGAGAGAGGAAAAAAACAAAATTTCCTTTTTAAGTTACACACACACACACACACACACACACACACACACACA